CCCCAAAACCCCAAAACCCCAAAACCCCACTCAAAAACATCTTTAGAATTTACGAATTATTGATTATTATATTTTCAGTATTCAAAAAAATTTATATCATATTAAAATATTTTAACATCAAATTAGCTTTTCTCTTTGTATTTTGCTTCACTTTATATATCTTTTTGACTTCTTGATTTTCTAAGGCCTATTTTTCTCTTCATTTAAATCTTGGAAATCATCTTAATCTTAATCCAAAAGAATTTCAACCTAGTTACTTATTTTAAGCTATTTCTATGACGAGTCTATCATTAGATTCTAATGCTTAATTTTTCTAGTCTTTAAGTGATGCGACTAGGGCCTGATCTTAAGCTTACCTTCGTCATCAGAAGAAAATGAATTTTTTATTTTCTTTTAAAGGTCTCCAGATCCTGGTGGACTATGAAGCTTTCTTTTTACTTACTATGGGGCTTTCATAATCTCTGAGTCTGGGTAATTATGCTCATCATCATTTGAGAAATAGCCCTTGTGGATTTAATGAATGATTGGTCCTTAAGTACGAATACCCCCTAAAGTTTATTATTCTAAAAGAGATATGTCTATCACACGGTTTCCAATTTTATTGTTTTCATGAATGACTACAGGGACTCCGCCTTCAACACTTACAGTTAGAGATTTATTGATACCTAATGCATGAGTTGAGGACTGCTGCTTGAAACTATTATTATCAGCTCTTCTGTGAAGGTTAACAGAGGATCCTACAGAATTAGAATTGCTCATCCCCATAAAACTATTCAAATAGCTTTGTGATTTTGCTCTCGAGACAAATGCTTATTTGGCTTTCTGCATCAAAGATTATGACTGCAGTCCAATAGTTGATTTTTAATTTTTGGAATTCATAAGAGATGAATCTAAAGCATTATTTATCTAGCTATGTGAGAGCTAAGATACTTTCTCAATTGATTTCTCATGCAAAGTATTTTAGAGTTAATTACTTGTTGGATTCTAGGACATTGAGCTTGAAGCAAACTTCTTCTAAGCTAGAGTTGAATATGGTGGTACATCTGACTTTCGATGATAATCACTTTTCCTCTTTCTATTGGTAGTTGTCATAGCCTGGAATTATGATATTGGGTTTCGAGGGAGATTGTTACCAGGGATATTGCTCTATTTGGCTGATTACGGATTCAGGATCAGAGAATTAATAGGTCCTGGAGAGGTATTAGATAGAAGTTAAGGTTTGGAATAAGTTGAAGCATCCTTCTTCATTATGCCTTAGTTTATCACTAAATCACAATCGAATTCTATAATTTTACCTTAGTTTTTTAGTCTCTATGCTTGTGAAGAGTAAGACTTTTTAGAATTATTAGCCAGAGGGTCATTAATTTTCTTAACTTGCTGATGCTATTAAGAACTGCCTATAACTCAATTTAAAAATAGTCTATCTTACCTTATGATTGATTATGAGAAGTATTCATTTGCTGTCTCTCTATTAGTTTTTGGTTATTACTGCTTTACGGAGTAATTAAATTTAAAGAGCTTTCATCTATCTCATTAACTTAGGTAATATTGGTTGCTCCTGTCATATAATCTTTTACTCTAAGAGGAGACGAGAGACCATTTTTCTTTTATTTCAAGTCAAAACTCTTGTTAGTTTTAGGCCTACTTTTTAACAATGCTAAATCTTCATTTCGTTTTGAAACTTTTGTTGCAGTGATTTATATCTAAGGAGATTATATTATTTTCTATAGTTCCTCCTAAGTATTTATTTTTGATTTAGGAGAACCTAGGTCTTTTACTTATTTTAACTAGTCATTCAAGTCTTAGATTGTTTTAGCTATCTTCATTTCATATTCATCTATCTTCTAATCTTATTCTTATACATCATCCACTTTAGGACTCTAAACTTCATCACTTAATTAGTTATCTTCTCCTAAATCCTCAGCAATGAGAACTTCATCCTCATCAGAATCAAAATTCAATCCTATTTGCTGCTTGTAGGCATGATTCATATTTTAATCTGGACTAGATTTCTTGACTTCCTCTTGCTAATCTATCTTTTATGTCTAACTTGGACTCTCTTACTACTTTTCTTGCAATTAAGAGCTTTTTCTCTACATTTCTTAAGTCCTACTTCCTATAGCCACACTTTTACTGTTATTAGGTCTATTTTTCTTAGAATATGTATTTTTCAACACTGGTAGTTTATCATCATCTAGTTCATCAAATTCATCTCCACCTTCATCTTCATCAAGATCAATGATTCCAAGATCTTCTTGGTATAAATCTAAATTTAGGTTGGCATCATTGTTGTTCTAATCTTTCTTAGGGTCAATCAATATTATCTAAGATGACTAGGCAAGCTTTTCCTTATCTGACTCAAAATGCCTCTCAAAAATGAGATATTCACTTTCTCCAGATGCATTCTAAGTAGATTCCCCATCCTATTTCTTGAAATACTAATCCAAGGCGTTGGCCATCTTATTAGACTTCTCTCCCTTTTGAAGTATAATATTGTTCAGTCTATCTACTATCTTATCTTCGAATACATCCATGATATTGTTTGATTAGTTTTGGTCTGATTACTGCAGATTAAGATCAATGTATTCACTTCCAATAGCATTTTGATTAAATGTATTCTAGACCCCGTTCTTTTCAATCCAAAGATTCTTTGGTGGCTTGTAATCATTCTTGAATATTGCTATAATCTGCTTTATTTAATCCTCATTGTATGTGTCTACGTAAAAGTATTCATCTCCATTAGAATCGTTTTACAAAATGAAGTTACCTACTCTCTCATCCCCACTGCTGCTAAAATCATCATCCATTGTACCATCATTATGCCTGTCTTGATGTTATATCCCTAGTTATGATCCAAAGCCACTTCTCATAGATTGGTTGGTAGGCATATAGGCCCTAAATATGCTTCTTCTTTCCTCTTAATGGCTACTTCTATCTGTTAGATTTTCCATTAAATCTGACCCTATTTTAAACTCTTCAACACTTTCAGATTAATTTATTAATATCGAGGGTGTCTAGATAGAGCTATTTGCTGCACCTTAATAAATCTTCTGCCTCAAGGACTGGTTCCCTGCAACATTATAAGTCTTAATTAGAGATTGCATTTTTAACTGGTACTTCTCGTGTACAATGCTATTAAAGTGTCTAACACTTTCTCTTGGAGCACAAACTTAAATCAAGACTGTAGATGCCTCTCTAATGGTTGGGTCCCAATCTTCCTAAAGATTGAATACCTATTGCCATAGAGCTAGGGAGATAAAATTTGAGTTTCTTCTAAAATAGGCCATATTCTGATTGATTTTAAATTAATTGATGTTTGTAAAATCATGACCAAGACCGCAGAATGAACCAAGAATATTCAATCCTCCAGCTTTAGACTCAGATTCCTTGCTGAAAAGTAAACTATTTAGCAGAGGGAATAGCACTTGCTTGACTTTATTTTTGTAGTAAGATTTATAGTCTTGGATATCAACTTTAAACAATTAGCATATAACTCCATAGCAAATACTTTTGATATTACTCCATGAACTTTAGAATAAGGCTTGCTCTATAAAGTTCCAAATCTTTAATCCAAAGTTCAATCTTGCATGTAGGAATCTGGGATCTCTTGACTCAAACTCATTGTAAACTATTGATTGAACCTGATTTGGTGGTAAATGCTATTACTAGGCTAATAGCTATTGATAATTCTATAAGTTTTCTATTACTTAGAATCTCTCTAAGTCTGGGATTTCATAATGATGGATTTTAATTTGCTATTGTCTGAAGGCTTCACCTGGAATTTGACTAAACTAGTTTCTCTACCTTTGCAAATTTTACTTTATCATAAGATTTTGGAAATTAGGCACGGGCATCAGATTAGTAAAAAGGTTATCAATCATATTTAAAGTGTGGAATTGCATATGTGCATCGTGAGTCAGATCATACTATTCGCTGCAGTATCTAATAAACTAAGCATGCAGTTGTATGAGTATTAGTCGTTCCCTATTGATTATATCGATTTCCTCCTAAATCATGTCTTCATTCAGATTTTCAATTAGTAGGTCGTCCTCTGTATTTTAGATATGCTAATATCTAAGTATCTAATGTGAGGGAGCCATATTAGCTCCATTGATCTGTATGTTATAATTGGTGTTCATCTGAAGTGGATTTTATCCCAGATTATTTCTTAGATTAATGTTGAAGTTAGGAGGTAAATTATTATTGTGTGCGTTTGAAGCAAATGATCCGCGAGAAGACTCTCTGTGGTAGTTATGATTCTACTACTAACCTCCACTGCTTTGACTAGTCTAGTTATTATTGTTAGGCCTGGAATTGTAAGTCTCTGGGACAAGTTAAGGATTTACTGGAGCTAATAGATTTACTTAGTGATCATAGATATTTTTAAGTGTGCAATAGTTTATATAGTAAGTACTATAAAGTTCAAGCAACTCAATAGCAATCAATGGCGACCTTTCATTTTTTAAAACTTTCAAAAGGGCATCTTTGAATTGTGATTTCTTAATTAAATCACAGAATATCTAGATATGGGTTTGACTCATTGATTTTAAGGTAAGTTATAGAATAGCTAGTTTCTCAAAGTAAAGTTCAAGGTTAATTTGCTCCTAATATTTGTCTTTTTTTTAAAACTCATACTAATTGGTAAAGAGACAGATTTCAACTAAAGTCTCAAAATAGTTATTCATTTCTGATGATAATCTTCGATGCATTTGATTATTATTCCTTTAATCGTTTATTATTTGAGCTGAATTTTGATGGAAATTAGATTGAGAATGGAAGAGTCTTTGAGACATAGGGCTTTCATTATAGTCTTGGTTTGTGTGGTGTAATAACTAATGATTACTATGATGCTGCTATCTTTAATGCTATATGTGATTGATATGAATAACTTATTCCTCAGACTACTCATCATCCTCATCAGCGTACTCATTGCTATCTCTTTCATAATCATAATTGTCAATATGGTCAGGATTTTCATTTGTCTATCTGTTAGTCAATCCAAAATTGTTAGATGTCTAAGAATGCAAATGGCCCTGCATACTTTATCTGATCAGATCCTACTATTATGAAGCATGTAGGCTGTTCTACTAAGTTAATCCTAAATCCGCTTATGGTTTTTTGCAGCTAATCTCCAAGATCATTTAAATAAAATATGACTGCAGTCTCTTATGAGCTTTACTTCTCATTGTATATTTATCAGTAAGAGCATCAATTACTCCTCTAATATGATAATCTTTAAGATTATTTTTCATGATTTCCAAAATTTACTCGCAAACTACAAATACCTCCTCATGTAAATTATGAGGAATGCATTTAGATATTGTAGTCAGAAAGATATCCAAAAACTTGATTAACTCTTTAGTTAGCTTTTTAGACACTAGTAAATCTTGGAAAACTATTTAAAGAAATTAAAGCATTTCTAACTATGGAGAACTTTACTAGCAAAAATTGTTGACTTTTTATAACACTGGTAAGATGACTGTAATTTCATCAATGTCAATCAACTTTTCAGGGAGCACTGAGAGTATTTTTAGTAGGGTCTTCCAAGTCATTTTAAATAAAGACAATCTATCCAATTTTTCAAGAGAAAAATCCAGCCAGAAAAGAATAGGATTAATGAGGGCATATAACTCTAGCGATAGCATTGATTTAGACTTTATTCTAATTAAAGGCTATCCTCTCATAGATGAATTTAGGTCAATTCCAAAATTCATATTGTTTTGCTCTCCTAATCTAGACGACAGTATTCTTGTTTCTCTACCGCTAAGTGAATTTATTTATTAGTTTTTAATATCAGATTGTCTTCGGAGTTATTCTTCAAGAGCATCAGCTTACTAGTCGATTTACTTACTCTAGTCTTATAATGCACTTTGTTACTGGGTAAAAAGATCTATTATGTCAAAGACCATAGTAAGTTTTGACTACTCATCAGCATTAAGAGTTTCAGAGTTTTCAGCAAGAGTAATTAAGTTGTTAAAAGTCCATTCTAGTAAAATTTTAACACCTTTAGCAGAATAGTTGCAGAAAAGCTTTTATCTGCATGTCTACCATAGATTGTGACATGCTAAACTTATTGTCTCACTCGTCTTTTATTTTGCTTTGGCTATTTCCATTTGATTCTAAAGAGATATTGTCTAATTATAAGGGTTACTTAAAATTGCATTTTATAACTTTCTTTGGTCTGGGATCATGGTTTAAACCATGTTATTTATGAAATTAAGATTAAGTACTAAGTCACCTTAACATATATTAATAATCTTATCAGTCAATTTTAGTAGATAAATTCTTAAATCAGTGGCAAGCTAATTTTCTAATGGATTATTACCTAGAAAAATAGACTTAATTAGGATTTCATTATAAATTTGCTGTAATACTTAGGATGACATTGAACTTAATAGCTGGATAAAACTTTCAAGTATGTGATTATGAAGGTTCTTTATGCTCGTTTAATAGGTCTATTAAAAATTTATCCCCTCTTTAATCTAAAAATCGTTCTCTTGATTTTAATCATAAAAAATTGAATCCATATAGGAGTTTTAAATTGCAAGATCAAAGTTTCCAAATTACTGTACATTAAAAAAGCCATTACTATTGATAGCCTGGATAATACTTTGTTAAGTGAACGTCTAATAAAATCCATATCTTATAGGAAGCTTCTAATTTTAAATAACCATATTATTGAAGTGTAAATTCGATCTCGGATATGTATGTATTATACCAATAAGAATCTAGACTAGATATTAATCTAAGCTGCATCCTAATTAATCAATCAGAAACTCAAGATTTCTTAAGACAGCAACTTTAATTGCCTCTATTTTTGAATCAAGGTTTTAAAGCAATATCTTAGTGAGGTAAGGATGCATCATCATTAAAAGTTTGTATGATTCCTCTTCTCTTATCTGATGCATTTACTAAGTTTAGATATTATTATTTTATTTAGGACGTTGCTTCAGGCTTAAGTCAACTGCTCTTTAGAAAGCATTGATTTTTTCTGCTAATTGGCTATGTTAATTCATAGAATCAGCAATTAAAATTTCGAATTAAATACATCGGTCAAGAGCTTATTAAGTAAGGTTTTCATTTAAAAGAATTTCATTTTATAGTTTTCTAAACTACTCAGCTGCCTAAATAAATTTTCTTCCGCTCATCATTGATAGAGCTATCATAAAATCAACATCCTTTTTCTCATCTAACATTCTATACTAATTGAATAGAAAACTAGTATTCATTAGGGGTATCAAATTATTTGCTTAAGGTATTCTGAAACAAGGCCAGGCATAGAATCTTAATCCTATGACAATTTATGAAAATGCTCTTTTAAAGATCTTTTCAATATTTCTCTGTTATTCTATTGTTTATGCAGGTGACTTGCTTTTTTCTCCTTTCTTTTCCTCATTTTCATTGTAAGTGGCTTTAGTAGAATGGGGCAAGTCATTATTAATTGCTTTCTCGAGGAAAGATTAATGCTGTTTTTACTTATTATTTCGACTTTGCCTTCTTTAATGTGGAATTCCAGTAGATTAAGCTGTTGTTTAAAGCTAATTGCTTTCACTTAATGTCTAGGCATAACTGCCACCCCCTTTCAAATTAGTCAATGTTTCTTCTGATTGAAAAGTCTCTGAGTTTTTTCTTTATAGTTATCCAATCTACTGAGTGATTTGATTCATATTCCCTATTTCCTAAATTTTTCCCTCATCAGCCTAATTCACCTCTGACTCACTTTCTTGCATCATTGTTCTACTGATGCTTCTTAAATCCTCCTGGAGCTCTTTATTTGGATGTTCTTTCGCAGAATTTAAATCAAATCCAAAATTATCACTAACTTTCATGACTAACTTAAATTAAGTACCAACAGAACAGACCTTTATTGAGTGTTTATTACCCTAAGAATCATTTTAATCATCAGCTAGTGAGGAAGCTCCACAATTTAAAACTTCATTTCTTAGTGCTTCTAACTCTATATCAATCTAAGATGATAATGAAGAGGGATTTGATGACTTTGGAGCATATTAAAAAGGAGATGCCTTATTATGAGAAAGTATCAGTGCATCCTAATAAATGATATTTGGGTCAAGTACTGATTTCCTCAGTAGTTTATTGAATTGAAATACTTTAGCAAAATCCTCTTTGCAAAATTACTCATCTAGGTGAAAATCAAACTTTTGAAGTAGTATGGTATACGGTAATTTTACCTCTATCTCAATACGAATATCTATCAAATAATTAGTTGATTAGCTCATAATTACCTTCTTTTTTTCGATTTATTCTTGAGGGAATAACGCAGTCAATTTAAATGTTTTAGCTCGAAATCGGCAAATAAAATTCAACTAGGTTGTTTAGTTAAATTTGCGATGTAGACATATTTGAATCTACTCAAATTAAATTAAAGAATTACAATCCTCACCTTTTTAAATTCAAATAATCTCTCAAGGGGTTTTGGGGTTTTGGGG